AATTACTATGGAAGATTTATGCGTATTATTGAGAAGGAGCGTGACTCTATTTATACGTGAACGATGGAATACAACGGGAATCAAACTCTTTTTGACAGGGATCACACGAGCGATTAATTTGATGAAAAAATTGGCAGTTACAGAGGCAACATAGACTTTTTCAGGTATTGTTGACTCCAAGTCTGAGATGGATCTTTTTACACCTTGGTTGGATAGGGATCTATCTGATGAGAATGTATTGTCTATTTCGGGATCATTGCTTCAAGTTGAGATTGATCATTATGTTTCTTTTGAGAAATCTATGGTGTTGCATTCCCGTGAGGACCATAGTAGCTATGAGCTTATATCGAAAATTGACTCCCTTAAGGATTTCTTTCACTCACTTCGAAAGAATGCTTGCCTCTTTGGGTAATATTGACTCTTTTGATTTGAGGCTTACTGAAAACGAGAAAGCTAATGACAAGGGAATTGCAGAAGTCAATTTTTCTAGAGACGATTTCACAAGTAATCGTTGCTCAACAGGGTTTAATGGTGATAGTGTATTTTCTGAGAAGATATTGTCATACTCGGGAGATGAATTCCTCGGTCATGCTTCAGAGAGCGAGAAGAGAGTTCCAATTTTAGCGATTGGGGATCTACGGGACTCTGACACAAATCAGGATATTTGTCTTAAGTTTGGCCTGGTCACGAGGGAAAATTGGTTGCCTACACAAAATCTTAATACTCAAATGAAAATATATAGGAAAAAGCACCAGTGATTGCATCATATGAGGACTAGATCTCAATCGCACATGGACTTATAAGACCCGATGGAATTGAATTACTGTTTTATAGGGAGTTTTTGTACTTATACTTTGGGTAGGGTTTCTCTCATCTCTTTATTATCCTTTGTTGTTGTTTTCCTTATTTTTCCTTTTCACCTTTTCTCTGTACTCTCCTTTCCATTAATAAAAATTTCCTTTATTGGCAAAAAATGACTATCGCATAACATTATGAAATCATCACAAACAAAGACTTCATTTTGACTCATGAAATCGCATTTAGTCAAACGATCAACGAACACAAATCATCATCCTCATGTGAATATGATAAATATACAACAATAAACTAACCTGATGTTTCTCTTCTTCAACAACCCCACGCTGATAAATTGATCAACAACCTTGATGAGTGGTTAGATGCTTTTCTTCTCACAGACTTGCGAATTAAGGTTCGAATCAAGGTTAGGGCTACAGAGGTGTTAATTGGAAATGGATAGAGAAGTAAACTGATGTGTAAAAAATAACTTGAGTCAGCATGTTAAGACCGGTAGACAACGTCCACGTAAGCGCCAGATGAGCGAGCAACGGGCAAACCGGGAGACAACTGGTAATGTAGACTTAATTGACTGTTTTTGGAGACTTGGCAGCCTCAATTGAGGGTTTCAAAAGTAAGAGGGCGTAATTGACGGTTCACCCATAGTATGAGGGCCTAATTGACATTTGACAGTTTTCCCTTTAATTTAGGGTGTTTTTTTTTTTAAAGGTTGACGCGTGTATCCATCAGGATACGCGTATCTGAATTTTTAAAATAATTGCCACGAAAGGTGAATTTTTTAATAATTGCAAATTAAATACAGTCTGGGAACATACAGTATGAGTATCATGGAGTGTTTGATACGTGGACGTTTCTGATATGCTAATACGACACCTTAGTCAAGTATATGTGCTACATAGATTAACCACATTGCATGCTTATATGACACATCATATGCTCTCAAAATGTTTCTCTTGTATACTTACCCATTTTTTTTAATTACAACACTCTCATTTTGACATTTGCCAATGCACCGCTTTTGTTACTAATATATATAATTTTCTTTTAGTAAAAAATATGAAACGAATTTTTTGAAAATTTAAATTGGAAAGAATTGAACAACATTTAAAAAAATCTCAGCATATGGAGATGAATAATTCGGATACCGGTTGTGGGATCCCGAAGTGAAGAAAGTTATACGATACAGAGATGTTGTATTTCATGAAAACGAGTTTGATGATTGTGCTCCAATAATCTGCAAACAACATACTCCAGAAGACGAAGTCCCTGTATCATCAAACATTGCTCTCAGTGACGAGGAGATTCATGATACTGCTAAACAAGAGAGTAATAGTTCAGTAGATGATGATGATGATGATGATGCTCACATTGATAAGATTCTCCAATAGGGGGAGCCTTCATCTGAAGACAAAGCTGGAGGTACTCATGTTCGATGTTCTATGCGAGGCATAATTCCACACAGAAAATTCTCCACATCCGAGTGGATACTTGTTGTCAGCGAGGGGGAGCCAATGAGCATCGCAAGAATGAGAGAAACAAAGAAAAAGGTGGGGGGGGGGGGGGGGGGTTTGTAGGGATCTTCCACCTTCTTTCTTGGAAGTTGCCAAGAGGCATCTAACACTTTCTTGGAATCAGCTCTCCAACAAATAAACATGGTAAAAAGATATGAAGATAACTAGCAAGTTTGGATGCAACTTCCTCATGTCTCCCATATACACCTATAAATATGGAGTCTATTGTTGTTCATCAACATCAGTTTCTAAAGTGAGAAAAATGTGTGAAGAGTGAAATACACTTAGAGTATGAGTGTATTAGTGAAGATTGTTTCTTTGTAATAGTTGAGTGTGAGAGTTTGCTCCTCATATTGTAATTCTATTCTTGATACTTAATAGAAGAATTTCCAATCCCAATAACTATGTGCTTTGTTTTTTGTTGAGTGGTCTAGAGTGCTTTAGTTTATGTTGTTTTGTCTAAAGTGCTTTACTATAAGGATTAAGGAATATATTAAAATAAATTTTCATAACATTGGGAGTTTTATTGCAAAAATCTTAGTATATAAATGGAAGATGAAGTTTGCTTGTCTAGTAGTATGGTTTTTTGCTATCGAATTCATATATTAATATTTTAATTTGATTTCTGACATTCTTGATTTAAACATCATACTTAAGCTTTTATTTAAATCCAAATGTGATTACTTTCCTCATTTCATTTTGTTTATGTTATTTGATCTCATTTTTATACTCCGATATATCCTGCTTCAATCTTCTCAACTCCAGCCCCATTTTGCTCAATGAATTATCTCATCATCATTTACTTATATAGTTGTCTAATTGGAGGGATTTGTTTACTTTTAGCTTATATCATTAAACACTAAGTGATTTTTTCTCAATCACTACAAACTTTTACTATCAAACACTCTTTTTAAAAAAATAACTTCAAAATTTTACTTTTTTTGAAACAAAAGTATCCATCAATTCCTTAAACCTACAAATATTGTTATATCATCTAAAAGAATCACTCATTTCTTTCAGCCCAAAATTAATCATTGATATTAAGGGTGAACCCGATATATTAATTTTCCGAATCAAGAATGAAAGATAGTTTTGAGATGGATTAAAAATAAAAATATAAATATATTTTAGGAGAAGAGTGAAGCGGTGCATAATTATGAAATTCATCTTGACATCCTACCATTTCACGGCGCACAAGTAAAAAAACTAGTTTAATTGTTATAGGAACATTCATGGTATTTTTGGATCATATCTCTACCTAGTGGTGGGTGCGGTCCGAGACGGTCCGGTAAATTAGTAAAATCCGTAATGTACCCGTGAGGTTTTTAACGATCCGGTATGGCCCGGTTCCAAGGATGGAACTGTTCGGTACCATGTCGTTCCAGAACGGTACAAAATGGCACAGTACAATGCCAAACACATGCTAAATTTTTTGAACAAAACTTGCAATTAATAGATATCATCACACCAACCAATTCACATGAAATGTTGATATAAATACATGAAGTTGCATACGTTGTACTAAAATTCACAAATACACAAATAGTGCAACACAACTAAGAAAAAAATATAGCAAAATGACGACGCACGAGATAAATATCATCTTTAATTTACTAAGTAGTTCATGTGAAAATATAAAAAAGAATATCATCAAATTGTTGAATATAATAGAAATCTTCAATGTTATTCTTCTTCGTTCTAGGCTAAATATTACCCCGTAGTTCTAATTTAATTTATAGTTGAACCTTGATAGCTAAAATTTAAACCATATTAATTAAGTTGTAACATTGCACAAAACATAATACAACAAAAAGTCATGTACACTACATTACTAGAAATGAATACGGAGTAGTCATTAACGATTTCTAAAATTTTAATATTCTTTCAATAAATACAAAAATATAACATAAATTATCTAAAAATATAAACACACAAATTTAGCTATTTTAGGGACACATGAATACATACTTGGGCTATAAAATTGTTGGTCTATAAAAGAGATCTATTGGTATAGAAAAAAGATAAAAAAATCAAATACATTATTTTCGAACGGTCCGGTCCGGTATTTTTTTTATTCACAAAATCTAGTACCGGTCCCGTATCCGTTTCAAATGGTACGATTCCGGTATTTCAGTACCAGTTTGGTTCCCGTTTTATGCCCAATGACTCTACCCGTTCACTTTATATATTTACAAATTACAACTGTTCCCGCAGACATAAATGAAAGAAGGGAAAAGGGGCAAATAAGGCCACGTACTAACCAAAAAAGGTCAAATAAGGCCTTATTTATGAGGTTCTGTCCGGCCTTCGCCATTTGGGGTGGTTCTCGGTGGAATTTTTTGATGAATTTTATTTACCATCTTATTCATTAAGTCTAGTTTACTCATACCAAATTTCAGCTAACAATTCAATCGGAAAGGTAGTCAAATGAATTCTTGAAGATAACTGCGCTTTTAACTGCGCAATTATCTTCAAAAATTCATTTGAATGTCTTTCCAATTGAAGTTTTAGCTGAAATTTGATATGAGTAAACTAGACTTACTGAATAAGATGCTCAAAAAATTTCATCAAAAAATTCCACCGGGAACCACCTCAAATGGCGATGGCCGGACAGAGCCTCTTAAATAAGGCCTTATTTGACCTTTTTTGGTTAGTATGTGGCCTTATTTGCCCCTTTTCTTTTCTCATGAAAGAATAAAGCATACTTTTTCTTTTTGGCCCAGACGCTGAGATTGGAAGAGGAAAACATGGTGCAGTTCCTGTTGAGGATTACGGCGGAGTTGGAAAACCTCACTAACCTTCAGCCGCATGGCGGTTTTGACGATTCTAACTTCACTTATATGTTCAAGGTTCTCTCCTTCATCACCCATTCCATCGCATAAGTTATTCTGCGCATATCTGCTAACATTTCACTCGAGCCGATACATTTTGCTCTTCCTGTAATAACCTACTCCTACTGCTTGTCGTTTTGTTCAGAATTTATTTATAACATTATTTGTGTACGATTGTGTCTTCAATGTGAATCTGTGATTATAAAGGTTGCTTTCACCAGATTGTAAGAAACTACGCGGCTTCTCTAGTTTGTTGACGAGTATGTGCTTAGGTTTCATATAATGGTACATGATTGTTTTGAAATTTTTGTGGATCCGGAACTGAAAATGGTGTGGTTGAGATCAAGCAGAAATCTGGACCAGCAGTTTCTTAACTTTCTATTTATTTTAAATCTTCGCTAAACTTTAGTCTGTGCATATGTACATACTTATAGTTCATGGTTTCACATCATTTACTGTAGGCGGCTGCTTGTGTGTAATTTAAAGTCATTTCAACCATCTTATATACTTTGTTGCTTTTTACTATTGTTGCCATTATTATTATATTATTATTGACATGGGGAATGAAACACTCTCCGGTCTCTCTTTGCAATTGTCTTATGGGTTTAAATATAAGATCAAGGTGTTAGGAATCAGCTCTTCTCTTATTAAGTGTGGCACACTGGCACTAAAGCAGAGTTTAATTCAAATGAGTTGATATTTGAAAATGTTATAGCCTAATTTCCAAAACAGAAAATGAACATCATCTATATGTGCCTGTTAGTCAATACTCAACTAAACTGAAAGACATTGTAATAAAATTAAATAAGTTACAACCTTCGAGTTGAAAAATTGGTGCATAATATAAACACTAAAACAGATTCATGCAATGATAGATAAATTAGTGGCCAGAAGCACTTCTTTACATGAATACATGTGTACAGTTGCATGATTCTTAAATAAACATCAAATAGGATGAAACTTTATTCTCATGTTTAGCTTTGTTATTATCCTGATAATCGTGTACAGCTGAGATGCGGTTGTGGTGAGGTGACTGAGAAGGAGACCTGTGTGAGCTTGAGCGAAACTGTTCCACTCCCTACAGGAAGGGGGGATGCTCACCTTGTTCAGAAGGTGATATATGCTATTTTATTTTATCCTTTATCCTTATCAGTCATATCTTATACGCTGTATGGTTACTTTGTTAGTACTCACACTCCTTTGAATATTCTTACATTCTATGTACTTTGTACAATTATACTAGTATGTACGCAATGAATTTATGCTACAGATTTAGGAGTGAATGTGTTACATATACAATTATACTAGTAGAATGTGTTGGCGTGTTGCATATGCCTCTTCCAATGACCTTTTCTGTTACTATATCAATGTTTTCAGTTTTTTCTTTCATATCTTTCTATTTGAAATCATACTCTAATGAACTGTTATTTTGGTCCCACCTTAGTGCAAGTTCTGTGGGAGGTCTGGAACTGTGGCCATGATCACTGGACAAGGCCGTCCATTGACAGATGAGGCTAGTCAATCAGGGTCATTTACGCCAGCAATGGTCTTCGACTGCAGGGGTTTTGAGCCAATGGAATTTCACTTTAGTGGCAAATGGCAGGCTGAATCTGTAAGAATTCATCTTCATCCCATAAAAGACTCTTCTGTACAAAATGAGACGAATTATTACCTATAAGTTGCTGATATGGTTGTTCATCATCATTATGTACCCTTGCATATAGGCATATAGGTTAAATTCACTCACTCTTTAGAATAAATAAACTAACTATACACGGGTCCCCCTTAGTTGATTATAAAATGAGAGTTTATGGATTTTTCTCCATATTGAGGTACTAGATTTTGAACATTTTTCAACGAGAGGTGGATGTTATACTAAGGAGAATATTAGAGATGTTAAAAGAAGTCAATAGGGATATAAATTAGATGGATATCAGAATTTTGGGGCTTCAAGAGTACATGACTTTCACCTCATGATAAACTTTTGTATAACATCATAAGAGTTATTCTTATAAAGGTCTGTTTGGATGGAGGGTTTTGGAAGGGCTTGGAGAGAGAGGAACGCTATGGAGGTGAGTATATATGTTGAGAAACATATTGTTTCCAAAAATAAATAAGTAGTTATTCAAATGATTTTATCAGGCTATGTTATTGCTTCAATTTCTATAAAATCTACACTTATCCATCCAAAGCACTCCCCTCCAAAGGCTTCCAAAAACTAACTCTGGAACTGACTCTAATCATCTGTATCGTAGTTCTGCTTGTCAAATGTCAATCATTAAACTTTCATCTTTTTTATGTTTGTTGTTATGTGTGTACATGCATACTATACACACGTATGCATATATGAAGTATATGTGTGTGTGTGGCCTTAGAGGTCTTATCTTTTGTGCAGATTAATGGGGTGAAATTTGAGGACATTGACTTGTCTGATGAGTACTGTGCCTATGATGAGAAGGGGGAGTGCCCAGTTGCGATTTCCAACCCTCGTGCTGAATTTACTAAACTTTCAGAGAAAGTAGGAAAATAAATAGATAAACAAAAACAATTTGGCAACTAATGGAACCAAAGTTGGTGCATATAAAGTGAGTGATTGGACTGATGTTTGGAAGCTTAAGTATTTTCTTGCAGCTATATGTACAATCAACAATGTCCATCACTGCATGATATGTATATCATAGTCTCTAACTTGGTAATGGATGTTCATTTTGGAGTCGGTTGTCATTCATATAAAAGCTCCATTTGATGAATTACAATTTCTACGATAACTCTAACTTGTTAATGAACGTTCATTTTGAGTGTTCTCATAGCATTGATCCCTGTTGTTGGTAGATCATCACAACCATGGGTCAGCATGACCCCACAAGTATGGATTCAGTTGGGAGTAAAGAAGTAATTATTAATGGAACAATAAAATGAGAGAATACAGATGGGGAGTTGGGGACATTCCATAGAAAGTTCTCTCCAGAAGTTGGATAATAGTTGCAAAAAAGTATTTCCAGTAAAGAAATGAAACTTACTTTTCCTTTCTCACCCATTTTCTTGTTATCTAAACACGTCGTACGGGTAATATGTTCCACTAGATGAACAAAGAATTAGCTAGTCTGAATTCTGAATACTTTAGTCTTTTCTTGATTATTTCATTCTATCCTTTGACTTATGGTGTGACACTGCACTGGGGTGTGTTTGGATTTATTATCCAGGGCGTGACATATGCAGTTCACTCGTGTTCGAATACTATGTTCCCATTTTTTAAATAGCATAGATTGGTTTTGATTAAGCATTTAAGCTGTAATGTGGTATAATGGTATTTACTAAATTTCACCAATCTTCTCACAATAGTGTTACATATTGTTTCCCCTGTTTTCTCCCTAAAATTTTTTTTCCTTTATTTTTATCCTCTCAATGCTTTTATTCTCTAAAGGTTTTTTCTTCATTTTTTGCCTTCTTTTTCTTCTTCAAGTTTATTATTTTATTTCCCTTTTTATGTATATTCCTTTGGATTAGTTCTCTTTTTTTATAAATGGAAAATAAATTTAAATAATACTTGGTACTAATTATGTTAGGAAATTCTTGAAATAGTAGTAGAAATGTTTTGAAATTTCATAATAAGACTGTCACGTTTTTATTTCCTATATATAAGTAACTATTGTCAAGTGTGAAAAACACTGTCATGTTCAAAGTCAGGTATTGCCAAAATATGATAGTAATTATTCTTATTCCAAGAATAAAATTATGGTAGTTCTATTTTGGAATTTCAGGAGGTTTTTACTTCTATTTTGGACAATTTTCCAACTATGTTCAATGAACCAAGAATAATATGTAATCTAGAAATAATTTTAATAATACCAACTATTTTAATAAATATCAAACGTGACACAAAGCAAATTTTCACTAAAAAATTCGGTAATTTAACTCATCAAAAACTAATATCAAAATATTAAATAAGTGACCATATTTCCAAACATCATTTATTTGATGATTTGATATTAATTTTGATGTCTCATATGACTGAATTTCTGGTTGAAAAGTGACTCCATATTAGTTTTGTTCTACATTCAAATAGTTGGTATTATTAAATGCTATTTTTGAAGTATATATTATTCTCTAATCATGAAAATAGTTGGTATTATTTAATATTATTTTTCCTTTTATAAAAGACCTTTTCTCACCTTACTCAATTTTTGCTTTAATTTCTTTTTACTTCTACTTGGTTTTCCTTTTTTCTTTTTTCTTTTTTCTTTTCCCCCGGTTCAATCCAGTGGGTGGGGAAGGTGCCAAGGAACACCTCCCTAATTTATTAAAATAAAGATTTGGGTACAAGAAATTTGAGGTTACATTTGAAACTGAAATTAAAGAACAAGACAAATTAAAGAAACAGGAAAAAAATAACAACATCAACCAATATATTTCTTACCTTAACTCTTCCACTAATATATTTCTTAACAACATCAACTAATATATTTCTTACCTTAACTCTTCCACTAATATATTTCTTACCTTTTATGCATATTTTTCTTCGGTGAAGAAACTTCATACAAAAATAGTGAAGAAGTAAAATAAAGCAAAAAAAAATGCACATTTACTCTTTACATGAAATGAGCAATGTTCTAAAAAGCGTAAGGCGTGGCGAGGCGACATGATCAAGCCCGAAGCCTTTGAAGCCTAGGCGGGTTTAGGCGAGGCCTAGGCGTGAAAAGGCATTTTAGTTTTTTACTATTATTTTAATTTTTTTTACTATCATTTCATATGTATATGGTAATATTACATAATATCACATACAAATATTACATTTTTTATACAAAAAAGTTCCACTAATATTACTTACAAAAAATCGTGGACAAAAATATGACTTAATAACTACCGAGTATTATTTATTATAATTGTGTTGAAAGTTACATAGCAATGATCACACATGTAGTCACTGCGATGTAATTTTGAATACATTTATATTAATTAATAGTTACAAAGTTACATTTTTCCATGAATTTTTTTTACTAGTAATATTTTAGAAAAAAAACCCTTTTTATATTTTTATAGAAATAAATTTTTCAAAAGCACAAATAATAGGTTGATGAAAAAAAATAGTTAATAATCCGTAATAATTTAAAAGAGTTGGTTGATGAAAAAAATACTTGTACTCAGTAAGGATAATTATAATAATAATAATAATAATAATTACAAATAAAGAAGATTGCTTTGAATTAGGATATTAGTTTAAAAAAAGTCATTTGCACTTGTATCCCACACCGGACGAGTTAGCAATGCGGAGTTGGCAATGGAAAGGTGCAACCTTGTATGCGGACTGCGGAGTACTTCGAATTCATTATCCCACACCAGACAAATTGATACTTCCTCCTTCCAAATACTCTATATAATAGACATTCCATGCAACTCGAATAGCAGCGTGTTGCAATGGCGATTCAAATCCACGCCTATGCAAAACAGGCGCCTTTATGCACGCCTATTTGGCAGGCGAGGCGTTTGGTTGATGCATCAAGCTTAGGCGCGCCTAGGCGGCGCTTTTCTGAGCCTTTTAGAACACGGGAAATGAGTAAATGTGGAGGGGTGACTAGTCGGAAAGAAATCCTAAAATAACAAGTCAGAAGTGACTAATTGATCAAAGGACTACCGAAAACATATGGGAGGAAAGGGAAGAAAAAAATGAAACAATAATTTCTAATATTAAGTCTTGAGATTTTAACTTGATAGGAGGATACTAGTTCAAGACTTTACACGTTAATTTGTGTTTTTTAATACAACCAGTGTAGGATAGTTTAATATGTCCCACAAGATAGTGGCTCGTGGGATCAGACCAATTTTGCAGTTTATGTGCTTGTTGAGGCTCATTGGATAATTTTTCTCTAATTTTCCAAAAAAGGGACTAAAAATGAGTAAGTCAACATTGATAGTGACCAATGTCACGGTGATCAGAGTCGGCGACATTAAACATCGTTGGTAACAACTACTTTCGGCCAATTACAATTACTTTGGCAACTACAATTACAGGTTCAGACGCCAGTGACCAATGTTGTAGTGACTCCAACACCTCTTACAAATGACCCCGATATCGATGCTTCAGCGACTAATGCTTCCTATGTTACCCATTTACCCCAATCATCTTCCACTGATGCTTCCTATGTTACCCACTTACCCCAATCATCGGAAGAAAAGTCCACTTCCATCACAAAACCATTAGAGCACCCACTATGGGTGGTCAATGGGGATCAAAAAAACAACTTGATGGGAGTTGACCCCCACTATGGTAGCTAAAGCATTGATCCGATCAAATTGGAGGATTGAAAATGGGATCTGCCAAGTTTTTCTTGACTAACCAATGATAGAAAGCCAAATGGAAAAGGTATCCACCAACCTCATCAAATATCCCCTAACTCACTAATTTCATTTATTATTCATTAAATTTAATTTATTGTGAAAAAAAAATTATACCACAAAATTAGTTATTTTTCCTCTATAAATAGACATCAATGAAGGATGTGTTTAGTCACTTCGAAATTTACCACTTGTTTCTCTCTTGCATCTTATTTTATCTGTTTTAATACATTTTTTCCTCTGAAAATGGATCCAACCAGTTCTCTACCTAGATGCAATGACAACATTAAATAATGATAGTGGGTCAAATGTGGATTTTATATTCCTTTTTCAAATTAAATAAATTAATAATGGTGAAATATACCAAAAATATGGAGAGAGAATGTACAAATTTTAAGTGACCTAGGTCACCATAGTGGAGTGAAAGTATGATAGGTTAAAGATGATTAAGTTTTTGGAGGAAAGTGATGTGGAAGAGAGAGGAGAGGATCAAAATCCACCACCATTGTGGATGCTCTTAGCTGCGCTCCCCCATCCGCTTCCTGCCATTGTCCATGTCCTGTCCCCCTACTACACACGTTTAGTTTTGAAATAATGACATGAATAATAGTAATGACTTTCTAATGAATAAAAGTAAAGACCTATCAATATGGACAAAAAAAACTTTATGTGCCCTGTGTATATATATATAGTTGGTTGTCTTCACTATCTAGCATGAAAAATTCACTTGGAAAGCCTCACCACTATTATGTGCATGTGTATGTTGTGATAGCCAGGGATGGATTTAGGGGGGGCGCGGGGGGCGACCGCCCCCCTTGGACATTCAAATTTTTTTACCATATATGTAATATTTTCATAAAACTTTCATAATTTAATTAGATTCGCCCCCCTTAGCTTTTAATTTTCAAAGTTAGTATATAGTCTTACATAATGTAATACTTATTGGAGATTTGAAAGAATAAACATCTAAAATAATTTACATAACTTAAACAAATAAACAATAGAGTAACTCGTTATTTAAGATTTAGGATACTTATTATATAAGAATTCCTAGTTTTGTAATGTTTAATTATCTTTATTAGATAACAAGTACTGGATTTTGTAAAACATATATCAAACAATATTAAATACCAGACACACTAATTACACAATTTTTAGATCACATGAAATGAATCCAAAATATAAATATTTATAGACATTAGATTACATAATTCATTTACTTCTTGGTTTCTAAAAATAATTTATTGCATGGATAATAAACTTTAAATTATTATAGAATTAATAAAAATATTAAAATATAATATGCGCCATATATACGTGTGTGTGTGTATGTGGTGCACATTATTCTAAAAATAACAATTTCATACATACTAGTATACTACTATTGTAATATTAAGAAAACTTCTCATGAGTCATGACTCACGAACACCCTCCTTGGTGGACAAAAATTACAATTCAATAACCAATTTATGAG